CCTAGGTCTCTCATCCAGTTTCTCATCAGATTCCCCATCCTTACAGTCCGATCAACAGCATGAGATTCAGAAGAAAACAGCAGTCTCTCTAGGCGAGCGCATTACGACCGCAGCACACGGCGACGAAAGACGGGGGTCGGTCACCTCGAACACGAGCACCGATGTGACAGCCAGCCAGAGAAGCGCCACAATCAACACCGACGGCAACAAGGGTCTCGGAGACGTGGGGGGAGATGTCGGCCGGAGGGATTCGTCTATGGGTGAGCTGCGTCCTGAGGAGAGCGCGATAGCCCAGTTGGCTCGTGAGTTCAGGTAAGATGCACAGCAGGGTTAGATCGTATCGCTGTTAAAACATCTGTGCATGCATGTATCTTGCGTTCAGAAAGGCCGCGGGATACGAAGCCTTTTATGAAGAGGCCCCTACAACACTCGAATACGAGACAGTGGACGGCTCTGAAGTGCTTGTCGGTGCGGTTTTTACGCCTGAACCACTGTTGCTGATTATCAAAAGGGCCGCCAGATGTATTCTACTGCAGTTGACCGGCGCTTCGCTTATTGCCATCATCCTTGTGGGCCTCAGCTTTCTCTACTTTCACTCATGTACTTCGAGACTTTTTGGGCTCCCCTTCGATGTGATTCGCCGTATCACACTGATTATCGCGGTAATGCTGATTTGTGTACATACGACTGATGGATCTGACCCGCGGAGAATGATTACCGCGCTGAAGAAGGAGTGGTTCGTTTTCAGTCCGCCGCTGGCGCTTTCTCTTATAATATCGCTTGCAAACCACTACCACTTGGAGAGCCACTGGGGAAGAGAGATTATCTTTCTCGTTCTTTTTGCGGTCTGGGGCTCTCTAATTGTCTCCACATACGCATACTTCCGCCGCACTGCTGCCAGTGGGTCGCTTAAGATTGCAGCACCACGGGAATATGCAATGAGGGCCACGGCAGCTTTTGTGATCGCGTACACTATGAAAGTCATATGGGTTAATTTTCTCTCTCCTCGATACGCTTCTGCGAATCCGGAGAGAAGGTTTCATATGGCTGTAATTCATCTTAGTGCCTTCCTACCTGCCGCAGGGATTTGCAACAAGGTGGTACGATCCATTAAGGTACTTTCATGTGAGAGCTAGAGCCACAAACGCAGCAGGGAATTCGCTTTGATGGTGACTGTTGTGCTTCAGGAGGGACTTCCGACATGCAATCCACTGCTGATGACGCTGCCAGCCATAGCTTACATCCTCTTTCCCCGGTGGGCTGCATGTGAATGTGCTTCTGATCGAATGATCGCATCTTGTGTGTGTTGCGATCAGGATGCTACAAGCTGAAGCGCCTACACTCAGCAGCAAGCTGGCCTACAGCATTCTCATCTCAATGTAGACCACGTGAATCCCACATACTCGCTGATGCCACCATCGCCTGTCTGTCTCAGATTTGACATGATCTTTGATATTCTTCTTCCCACCCGTAAGTTTACCAGTCACTAAGAGATATACAAGCGAATGAAAGGTGTGTGAATGGATGGAAGAATTAATGAGTGCTTCTGTCCATCCGTGCGTCCATCAGATATTGCGTTGTTTCTGTCGGTAGGCGTGGACAAAGATGCTTGAATAAAGATGCCTGCTGTGTCTTGCCCTGTATCAGATACAGAGGCTCCTTAAGGCCCGGTTCAACAATACATTGTTCAAGAACAACAATCCCATAGCTGCAAAAAAGGAGCCAGCCAAGAGTCATGAAGGGCTGCAGCGCCAGCAGCAGAAATCGTACTCGTTTGCAGCCCTCGCCTATATCAGAACACACCCGAGGCTCGGCAAGAACGTTGTGAGTCTGCAGGCAGCCTTAGCTTTACTGGAGATCACACCACGGTACTCATATGGGGGGAACATGCATATGCATTTCTCTCTGTCTCACACTGTTCATTTCTTCCGTCAAGATACCTGCGCTCTCTGTGCGAACAGATCAGTCTGTGGTCTCTGGTACAATACTCAGCCAAGATTGCTTGCAATACTCTGTTCATCTTTGTCTATTCGTATGCAGGCCGAAATGACTTCCCTCCTTTACATTAATCTGGCGATATTGATCGCCTCTGCCGTCCATGGTGCATCGCCTCTCACCCTCGGACACCAGATTACTGGACTCGCGCTGATCATTGCGATGGAGTGCGCATGTGAAGGGATGGTCCTCGTGGCCATGGTCAGGTGGGCAAACCTGCCCATGATGTCGTCATGGCGCGAGAAAGGGGTCGTTCGCTGCAGGCTTCTGACTTGCCTCCTGGCCGCTACCACTTGGTCAGTCGCGCATGTTTCTCTCTATTACGTCCCACATTCCGCATGTCTCTCTCTACCATCTGTGTGTGCCTGCAGCGTTCTCGTGTGGCTGCCATTTATGCCGATGCATATGACGTGGCGCGATGCCGATGCGACGGTTTTTTGCCCCACTTTTTCTGATGTACTCTTCTGATTCGTGCATATTCAGAAGATGAGAAAAGAGGGGGACCGATTCATTGACTGTTCCGACATGAAAGTGACTTGACGTATGGGTAAATATGTTGATGCGAGCGGGGCATGTGAGGGAGCGTACAAGGACAGCGATACGGAAGCAGGAACGATCGCAGGCAGGAGCACGGGGACGGGGCAGGGGGGCTGCTTCTGCTCCCGGCCGCAACGTGCAGCCGTTCTCGCAGTGCGGCCTGTGCCAGGGCATGATGGACCTCCAGGCAGGCAGGCAGGCAGGGAAACAGGAGAGCACTGCTCACACACGCGAGCACACAGGGGTGTGTGTGCGTGCTGCAGACGGTGTTGGCTGGTGGAGCGGTTGGCAACAATGGTGGGGCGGCGGGAGGAGGAAGGGGCAGGGGCGGTGGTGGTGGTCGCGGCAAGGCTGCTGCCAAGGGGCGAGGGGGGAGGGGCAGGGGCAGGTCAGCCGACATTCTTCAGCACCCGACATTATGGTGATGGATGCGTGAGTGTCTCTGTGCATATTTTGTTCAGGGGCGGTCGTGGTCGTGGTCGTGGCCGTGGTGGGGCGGCAGGGGGCGGAGGTACACACACATGCACACACACACACATGAATCAGACCACAGCTGCTGGCCGGCGATGGTGAGGTTCTCCCTCTGTCTGTCTGTCTGTCTGTCAGTCTATCGCAGGAGGGACGATCGCTACTTGGTGTGCACCAACTACAGCAACAACTGCCCCACCGTGCTGCAGCTGCCATCCAGAGGCCAGCTCACGGCACACAATCAGAGATGCCCCATCTGCCACTTTCAGGTCTGGTTAGGGTGTCGGCCGGTCGGTCTCACGATCAACGTCTCCCTCTCTCTGTGTGTCGGTAGGCGTTGAGTGTGAGGAACGAGGAGACGGGCAGGTCGCACCACATCTGCCCGCACTGCTTCCGCAACCCACCCGTAGGCAGACAGACGGACAGGCGCACACCCCACAGTAGCTTGCCTTTGCCCCATCCTTGTGGTCAGATGGACTATGCTACGGCTGATTTCGGCAATGTGTCTGGCGACTTCCGCTGCTTCAAATGCACACACCCCGTCAGTGAGTCTCACTGAGCGAACTTGAACCGCATCATCTCACCCTCTCTCTCACTTGTGTGTGTGTGTGTGTGCGGTGTCTCAGAAGTGTTCCCTGTCGACGGCTGGTCGGGGCTTCAGGGGCGGCTTCAACAACAACCAGCCACAGCCTGCTGGTGGTGGTGGTGGGCGGGGGGCTCCACCTCCGCCGCCGCAGCAGGAAGGAGTGAGAGGAAGAGGGCGTGGGAGGGGGGGATAGCTTAGCTAACTAACATGGGCACATTCAAAGTGATATTCATGTGCATGCGCACTCGTTCTGCTGGGTTCCTGAACCCTATAACCCCAAACCCTAATCTCGCAGAAAAAGGACATGGAGGTGTCGATATCGGGTTTCCGTGCCCCGCCGGACTCGCTCGAGTCGCGCCACCTGCTGCAGAAGATACTCAGGTGCCTCGAAGACGCCAGAGACCAATCCAGGGTCAATGGTCAGTCATCCCGGCAGACAAGCAGAGCCTCACACACAGAGGCTGACGGATGCATTTTTCACTGCGTCCTTGCCTTGTGTGCAGATCTGCTTGGCGAGATAGCTGTGAGCGCCTCGGTGCCGCCGATTGTGCGGCTCATCTTGACGCAAGTCAACCAGAGGGTGAGCCAAGCGGGACGGGTGCACTGCATTCACTGCCAGTGGTGTTTTCTCTGCTGGTTTCTCCCTCTCTGCCAATGTGGTTGATTGACTGATGGATGGACGCACTAGGGCATGTATTGGGAGCTTCGCGAGCGGCGTGTGGGTCTGTCGCTTGTACGGGCGCTGCTGAGCAACCCGCACCTCACACACCAACACAAAGAGCGACACGTACGCCGACACGACAGGCACACACAGATGGATGGATGGATGGATCATCGGTTGGAACACAACACCTAGCGGGCTTCTGTGCTCATTGCCCTTTTGTGCTGCTGGTGTGGTGTCTGCCTGTCTGTGTGTCCGTCAGATTGACGCCTACATGCTGCCGCTCATCCAGTGGACTCTCGCCTATGGATACGGCAGTAATCAGCAGCACTGCAGTCGCTGACACACACATCTCGCTCTCCTGCCCGCATCGCAGCCCTCACTTCATCCCCCCGTGTGTGCAGCGATGGAGGATTTCCACCCCTCTGAGCTCAGCGTCAGAAGAATCGCTGCACGGGTGAAGTGAAGGGAATGCAACACAAGCAACACAAACGTACGGCCACCAATCGTGTCGGTCTGTCTGTCTGTCTGTCTGTGGGGCGCAGCACTTGGCCGACATTGTGTGCAGGTACATCAGCGAGGCCGTGCCGCATGAGTGAAATCTCCCGCTGATAGCTGGTCTCTCTCTCTGCCTCTCAGTTTCCCGCCGTCGGTGCGTGGTCCGGCGGCCCTGCACCTCGGCAACCTTTACGAGCGGGTGCTGAGGACGCCCACTGTCGACCAGGGCAGAAAACTCGCCAGCCGGGCGGCCAGCAGCAGTAGCGGCAGCGCCGCCAAACCGGAGTCGATGCGCGTGTCGTACGCCAGCAAAGTTGGCGCACTCTATGTAGGCTAGCACATTGGGAGAGGGGGAGGGAGGGGTCGTGTGCTGTGGTCCCAGCCGCCTGAGTTGCAATGCACAGGCCTGTGTGTGTGTGTGTGTGTGTGTGGTGACTGATCAGGGTTTGAGGGAGCTCGGCTTCGATGCGCTGTCGACGGCTCTCCTGCCCATCGGCTACTATATCGTGAGGAGCCTAGTGCTCGACGTGAGCTGCCCACACACAACCGCTTCTGTGTGGATGGATGGATGGATGGACGTATGTGTGTTTACAGGAGTGTCGGCCGCCCCGCAATGGCCATGCGAGGGATCTGAGGCAGCAGCAGGAGAATTACGCAATCGCCCTGATGGTCCGTGGGGGTGTCCCTCCTCCCCCCTCACAAGACCCACAGGCAGTCTTGTCACTCCATGTGGCGCGTTGTGGTGTGGTGTGGTGTGGTGTGTGCAGGAGTGTGTGAGCTCCCTCCTCCGCACCGCCGAGCCCGACACTACACAGCTGCTGCAAAGGCGTAAGTGGCAACGTACGTCACACAAGCCATACGGGGAAACACATTTGTGTATATGACGTGCCATCCCATCAGCGGGTTTCCTCTCGCTCTACTATCTGCTGCGTGACATCTTTGGCGAGGCCTCACTGCTCCATTTCCCCCCTCCACCCACAGCAGCAACAGAGGACAGTCAGGACATCTGGTCGCCGCCACCGATACCAAGCCTGCCGCAGAGACGCCTGCTCGATGCAGCCGAGAGCGGGGAGGGCGGCATGCACGATGGTGCGGCCGATGCGTTTGTGGACGGTGTTCGGAGGTGCGTTGCTGTGGCTGAGTCAAGCGGTGCAAGCGGCAGACAGAGGGAGGGGGAGGTGATCAATCGTTTGGTTTGATAGAACGGTCGGTTGTTTGGTGGCTGTACATGTTGAGATAAACAGAGGCTGTGTCGGGCCAGTGAGACAGAAAGGCTGGTGACGTCAGCAATTAATTGGATTGCACGGATTGGTGTCCGACGAATAAACAAACGTTTCTCCAGCTGGCTGGCTGTCTGTTCCCCGCGCCCTCCACTATTACAGGTAGCCAGCTCAGCTACTCGTGTCTTGTCTTGTCTTGTCCCTCTTTCCCCCTTCCCCCCTTGCTCCTACGGGATCATTTACTCACGCACTATCTACCTACCTACCAACGCATGGCATGGCATGGCATCCACTATACTGACTCAGTGCATCGTCGACCGACAATCAACATCACATCGCCCCTCGCTCCCACCCCTTCATCCCTCCCTCTGTCCCCTCCCTGGTGCTGTCCAATTGGTTGGTGCTGCCCGTGCAATCATGTTCGAACATTTTCGAAAGGCTTGGATCGGTACGCTTGCCACGATGCCCGACCCCCCTCCCCCCCCCCCTCCTCACACAAAACCCTGTTTGCTTGCATACATCATCGGGAAGCGAGGGAGTGTACCGGATACGAATCCTATAAATTGATGTGACGCGTGTCTGTCGTAGTGAGTGTCCTTCTGTCTGTCTGTCTGTCTGTCTGTCTGTCCAGACTGTGTGTATGGGAGTGTGTCTAGTGTACTCATGCGATTGGATTGTCCCCTCACCCTCTCTCCTCTCCCCTCACCCAACCGAGTAGTCAAAATAGCCGCCCCCTGGTCGGCAGGCAGGCAGGCAGGCAGTTTATGTAAGTAGATGCAGCAAAGCAACCCTCCGCCAAAACATACACACACACACATACATTTCATGCATTTGGATCTGCATGGCTGTGGCCGCTGGTGTGTGTCTGTCTGTGTCTGCGTGCTGGCCGCCGTGTGTGCAGCTGGTGCATCCCAAGCATGCGAGTGCCTGACCGAGTGAGTGACTGAGTGAGTGAACCAAACGTTACGCTCCTTCTTCCAAGTCAGTCAATGAAAATGTGAAACAGACAAACGGTCAAGTTAGCTGTCAAAATGCCCACACACACAGCTGAGCTAAGCTGAGCTCAATGGCTCATTTCCTTTTCTCGCTCGCGCGGTCGCCGTGTGTTGTGTGCCTCAAGTAAGGAACACATTCGTTCGTGCAGCATAACGTGACATGACACACCGCGCATATGCAGCCAGCCACACGAGCATAGCATTGGCTGCTCTGTTTGGACTGACGTCACACATACACACACACACACACACACATGGCCGAATGCACCATTCAGGCAGGCAGACAAGCAGGCAGTGGGAAACAAAACGTGTCAATCAATACATTTGGTTCATTCTCTCTCCCCACCGACCCTCCCTCCCTCCCTCCGGTCCCATCCCTCGGTGGGTCAGCCAGCGATCGTTAGCAAATGCAGCCACGCACCAAACACAGCGCTCACCCACCAGAAAAACAGCACCCACCCCACCAGAAAAGGTGAAAAGACACACACGCGTGTCAGCCAGCAGTCTGTCAGCAGTCAGGCGGCTTAGAAAAAGACACATCGCCGTACGTCTGATGGATGGAAGCAAGCAAGATCGAGCCAGTAGTAAGGTGACTTGACGTTCTGGACGTCGATTCGACACCCAACGGACCACATGGCCGTCCATTTCCCTGTTCTGTAACCCATACACACCCATACACACGCACACACACCGAGTGTGTCGCCATTCATCGACACAGACGACCTGATAACAATTTCGGCTTCATTTCCAGCAGCTGTCAGACCCCGTTCCCCCTCCCCCC